TTCGAGTTGGCGATATGTTGTTGGTTGATAGTTTTAATTTCAACTATGGCTTTAACGAAATATTTCAATCCAACCAAGGAGATTGCAGTACAGTGTCATCCAACATAACAAGATTTATTGGTTCACCTATTGCATCAGCATAATGTAATGATTATGGTGAACTGTTTTTGCAGGCTAGTAAAGGTCAGTCTCAGCCACAGCTTATGCAGCCACTGAAAACGCCAGATGCTGTCAACCGACTCAGTGCCGACCAGAAAGAAGAGTACCGAAGATTGAAGCAAGAGATAGTAAAACGTGAATTACTTCGTAAAGTAGATGCTGGAAAATCAAGTGCTTCCCCATCACCTTGTGTTTCTGATTTAGAAACACAAGAGGAGACGGTTGCTAAGAAACCTAGTCTAACTGAAGAGCAGAAAGAGTTGTTGAAAAAGGCGGAAGGGTTTGAGTCTAAACTCTTAATCTGCAGGTACTGAATAACAACCAAAGTAGACTGGAAGATTATAATAATTCTAACATTTCTGTAGTTTGTGTTTGATGTTCACAATTCCTTGATTACCTCGCCCATAATTGTCCTGCCATTATTGAAGATGGCCAAGTGGAGTTGAATTAATTCTTCATTGGCAACTTTCACATTTTTTGCAAAACTGCGTGTCTGATTTGATTTCATATTTATGTAGTATGTAAGTGGTCAGCCACATTGAGTCGGTTGTTTGATTTGTGCAACATGTACTTGAAGTACATCATTAATCAGCATCTTGAAAGCCAGGTTATTGATAATTTTTGGGGTCATTCACAGGAAATTACTGCAGAGGGACAAAGGTATGCTGTCAGTGCTAGAAACACAGAAAACGAAAAAACAGGCTGTAGTTAAGGCAGCTGAGCTGAAAGTGCAGAAACTGAAAGAACAATTGCAAGCTGCTATGAAGCTCTTACTTACCAGTAGGTTGGAATTAAAGAAAGTTGAAAACAATGTAAGTCACAAAGTATGTGTAGATTACGTCACTGTATACATGTATGGAGGTTGCAGTCACTGTAATGTTTTGTTACTCATTTTAATGGTCTGCCACTGGATGGGTGTGTTGTTCATTATATGGGTGTACCACTGTACAGTGGGTGTGTTGTTCACTATATGGGTGTATCACTGCACAGTGGGTTTGTTGTTTTCTATATGGGTTTACCACTGTATAGTGGGTTTGTTGTTCATTATATGGGTGTATCACTGTATAGTGGGTGTGTTGTTCACTATATGGGTGTATCACTGTATAGTGGGTGTGTTGTTCACTATATGGGTGTATCACTGTATAGTGGGTTTGTTTTCTATATGGGTTTACCACTGTATAGTGGGTTTGCTGTTCATTATATGGGTGTATCACTGTATAGTGGGTTTGTTGTACACTAGATGGGTGTACCACTGTATAGTGGGCTTGTACACTATATGGGTTTACCACTATATAGTGGGTGTGTTGTTCACTTTATGGGTGTATCACTGTATAGTGGGTTTGTTGT